ACCAAGGATTGTGCATATCTGCTGGTAAAACATTTTCAAAAATTACCACACGTCTATCTGATTCATCCTTGCACACTGCAAAAGTTTTATCCAATGAAAAATTGAAGTAAACTGGGTGTAAGGATTGGGAATTTCTAGATGATTTCTAGATATCACATCCTTCGACCAGTATAACAATAAATCTACAGTGAAGAAATCAGGTTAATATTACTTTATGCTAAAAAACTTTAAAAAAAAAATTCACCAACTAATGGACGAAGTAAAACAATGAAATTCTTCGAAAAGCTCCATTAGTTACAATATTGAGTAGCAAATGATCAGACAAAGGAATGACGCTTATGTTACAAGTAGTGTGAAACTTACGCCTCCATTGAAATTCTGGAGCACCATCCCAATCAACCGGAAGTGTTTTATAATATTCCGCCATAATCATTTTGTTGGTTAATTTATCAGGACCCGTTTCTTCACCCAAACTTCTCACTGTTATATTTTTTAAACTTTCCACTACAGCAAGAACAATTTCAACGTCCGTTTCATCAGTGACATTTGCAGCTGTTCTTTCTTTATTTTCTGAAAAATATGAAAAGTGTCAACGACATTTGCCAAACAAATTATTTCACCTTTTTTATTTGTGAAATTCAAACATTTTCGGGTGAAATTAAAATTTTATTTATCAAAAGTTTAAGGATTATTGCAAAATGAACAGAAACAAAAACAATTCTTTTATCCAGCTAGAAAACATAATCCCAAGTTTTAAAAGTAAGTTAATTTCCTTCAATAATTTAAATCGAAAACATTCACTTTTACTAATTAATGTGCCAGTCTTTTGGGAATCATTTTTTGAAAAAGAGAAAAAAGTTTGACAGTTCACTTCCTTCAGATGTTTACTCCCAGAATTTATAAAACAGAAAAGTGATTCAAACATTTGTGATTATCTTTCGCAATGGCTAAGAATATATCCTTTAATGCAAGTGCAAGTGTATACACATGAATCTCTATAAACATATTCCCTAACCTTAGCAGCTTTGCAAAACATGCAGTGATAATTACAGAATGATCAGAAATGACAAAGACATATCCGGTCCGTATTAGGAACGGTAATGCTCAATGGCTTCTTAACTTCAGCAAGCAAAGTAAGAGGCCAACCGTTTTTTCCGTCTTTGCCGACTATCGGTCTCGATGCATCACCACATGCAACAGCGACATTATCTTGCTCTGATGCCATAGGAGCTACTGGAATAATCGGTACATCAGTACTTACAACATTCTGAGCTCCGATATCGGCATCAACAGCAACAGTATCAGTCGGATTACTGTTACATTCATCAGCCATTTCAAAATTTGTCGGAGCTGCTACTGCTTCGAATTCTGCTTCACCGCTCAACTCTTTCGGAGGTTCAGTGATTGCATCAACCGTTGTTGGCGGGTCAAGCTGATTTTTTTGCGAGATAACACGATCTCGATGCACTCGTGAATAGAATGAAACCAAACACTTCACACCAAGCTCCTGAAGTGATTGATTAGGTTACGGTGGAGTGGTAACCCGGAAGAAACAGAGTACACGCGAGGAATCAAGATGCCTCCAACATGTGACTGTAACGTCAGAGACATGTTCGACATGCTGATAGAGTGTAAAATTGTTTATGAAAGAATCGGAAAACGTGGAGAAATACTGACCCAGTGCAATTCAATTATGCTCTAATTGTAATAGCGAATTATGCAATGAGTAACAAAGTCTTAAAGAGCCTCTAATCATACAAGAAATAAATGAGTAAATTAATCATTAGATTTGACTAATCAATGAATAATGCCAAAAAGAAAGCAACTTAGGCTTAGAAAACAATGCAACAACTCAGACTTAGATATGAAATCTTTTGTAAAAGAATTTTCCTACCCTTCCGATCTTTAACCAATAAAGTGGATTTATCTCTACCAAAATGGAAAATTAAATACAGAAGAAAGAATGAAAATATAACAAATTCTACTTAAATGTATAGAATAGATCAAGTCAACTACGTAAGTTAAAAATACGGCAGCAATTATCACCATTCTGATATAAAATAAATCTTAGTAAAGTTACACATCCACAAAAACCTAGTAAGTTATCTAATTTTTATTGAATAGAAAGCAAAGCAGAAAAAAAAAAACAGTGCGAAAATTTCAGTGGCTCATAGGTTCATATATCAAAAATAAAAAAGACTTTTGTTCGGTCATAGACCTCCTTATCATAATACGACAATAAGATCATGACCTGCTAAGGCATAATATATTCGAGAAAATCCCGCCACAAATCTTCTAATCATACAGTTGAGCATTCCATTCATGTAAAAAAAGTGAAAACACTTTACAAACATACAGCAATGATTTCGATAGTGCAAGAGCTAACATAAAATGCCCATTAAAACTATGTTCATAGAATATGCGATCTCTCTTCACCAGGATAGACCATTCACGCAGTTGCTATCAACAACTATACACACTGACACATACGCAATACATATAAGTTGGAAACGTATGAAGACTATATCTGACTGATGTTCAAAAACGCCAATCATCAACTAAACTCGTTTAACCGAAGAATGTTAATGATGATTTTATGCCTGATGCCTTGTAAATCCACGTGTGTTTTGTTGTTACATTATAACTTATAGTACGTAAAAGAGTTCAAAGTACATACATGTCCGCTAATTTGATGATATCAATACCTATAAAAAGTAAGAAATCATCCGAGCTTGCAAAACACTGTGATAACTATCATAAAATACCCATTAAAAATTGTGGTCATAGAATATACGATCTCTCTTCACCAGGATTAATAGAGATCTTTTCTTGTCAATCTCATTTTTGGTAAGTGAAAAATGAGTAACCTGATTTGGAATACTCTCAATCAATGGGTAACGAATAATACGGTCGATGACGTCATTTCCAAGATTAAATTTCAAATTGATCAAGCGAAAAATTGTTTGATTAAATTGCTCTTGTGATTCAAATTGCAGTTTAATTGGTAAGGTGCTGATAATGACCACTCGGTTGAAATCCAACTTTTCCGTTTTTGCACCATATGTTGTTAATTCATCCATCATCGCCTTGGTTTTTACAACTGCAATTTATGTCACTTTTTAAATTTTGAAAAGACACATGCTACATTTTTCAGCGAAACATTACAAAAATTTTGCATGATTTCAATGCAGAAGAAGTGATATTATGATGTGATTTTTCCCGTAACAAATATGAAAACCATCTTTTTGTATATAAAATCAATATATAAATCATATTTTCATTAAAGTGATGAAACCGTTACCAATTCGGTTAAAAAAAGGAAATGCAACAGACTCCCACAAAATTAAAGCAAACACTCAAACGCAGCGCCTGCACGCCTCGCATTTAGCTAAATCTTGAAGTCATTCCGACCAAACCGGAACAACAATTCGGCCATACGTAATCGCTGCGAAATCTTCATATCCCACGTGGGTATTACAATGAGAAATATAGTTGTAATATAATGGTAATTATGTAATTATATTGCAAGTAATATGGTATAATGTTGTAATAATGGTAATATAATTATATTACGGTGATAATACTGCTACGATAACACATAATTATATAGCCAAAATAATATTGCAATATCACAATTATGATTATAATTTCACTATAATAATAGTACAATCTTTTACTTTTGACAAGCATAACTTGAATAAACTGTCACATTGTCACTTCGATTTTTCCACTTCAAAAAGATGACTAAATAATTGGATGGAATTTCGAACATAAGTTTGAGATATTGCTCAATTTGAGGCATGGTTCAATCGTTTAGTCATCCAAAGTTACGAGTTTATTTGCTGTTAGCCATATTATACTCAATTAATACACTCAATTAGAGCTGTAAAGTGTAATACAGTAATTTGTTATTAAATGATATTTCACCTCATTTATTCGTTTTTTTTTTTCAAAAGCACTTGAAATCATTTCAAAAATTCTAAAAAACTTCATAAACTGTGGATCGAAGAAGTAACCAGAAAAAGTTTAGAAGATTGTGATTAGTTCTTATTTAGAGTAAAATTATTATCACAAAAATTTTTTTTTTTTTTTTTCCATCCTAATCATAAGCGGCATACGGCAGTCTACAGTACCCCTTCTTTCTTGAAGCATACGGTAGTCTACAGTACCCCTTCTTCTTTTCTTGAGACATACGGTAGGGTGTCTACAGTACCATCCCTTCTTCTCTTTCTTAGAGCATACGGTAGGCAATCTATTGCGCGACTTGCAATATTAAGCAATAAGAAGAATCCATTATCTGCAGAAATTGCAGGACTTTGGATATCATAAAAACTTGTTATATTATTTCAAAAAGGTTCTATGTTATTCAATTCAATAACAGAATTAAAAGAGTTACAAGTAAAAACTTGGGTAATCCACATAATAGCCTGAAATTAGCTAACTGATTTCTTATTTCTAGCTATTATCAAATTAATTTCTAATCTTCAATTAACTCACTGCATAAGATTATTTAATACATCGTAAACCACTTGACCATTATTTTTAATTAAACTTTTCTCTAAACAATTGACAAATAATTAAAAAAAAAAAAAGAGAGTGTGAAGAAATTTTAAAAAATTGATGACTATTCTTCAATATAATTCTTCATTTCACTAAATTTGTTAATATTAATTTTCTTTTTCGTAGTATTTGTTAACTGTTTAATGTTTAATTTTAATTATTTGTCAGAAAAGTTTTGAAATTTCTTATGAAAGTATTAGGACGAAAAAAGAGTCATAAATAATTTTAGCTCTGCGATTTTAATTTGAAACTGAAATTGTGATTGAAATTTAAAATGCACAACCGTGTTAGCTTTTATTCATTCAATCAATTTATGAACATTAAATAATAGCACAAATTGCTTGTAATTTCTGGAATAATTACTTCTTACTCTAAAAAATTTGAAAGCTTGGAATGAAATATTCTGAGTTTGTTTAAAACAAAATAAAATTTTCAGTCATTTAAATGAAACTTTCTATAAATTTGTTAAATCCTGTTTTTGGTGGCTGCGGATTCATTGAAATTTCTCCATATCGATGATAAAGATATGCCCAGCAGAATGAAATTGTTGCTTCCTAAATTAATGATATTAAAATTTTAATAATTTTAAAGTTTGTAACGAATGTATTAGGGTCAATTTAATAGAAATTAAAGATACCAGGTATTGCAGTATCAGTAAGACTTTAATTTTTTTTTTTTAAAGTTTGATTTGAATTGTTAAAAATTCAACTTTAGAAGTCTGGTGATTTGAATTTATCAGGAATTATTTTACACTTACTCGATTTTGAGTACAAAAATCAGATATATTATCACATAAATCTGGCGCATATTTGAAAATATCTTTTTCAGTATAATTACGACAAATCATACCAGCTACTTCAACCAAACATTTTACAAAAAATAAGCTAAAATGAAAATTAATTTGAAATTTTGGATGAAATTTAAACATGAATAATTCAACAGATCATAGCTAATCATTTAGATTGTTATTCAGAGAAATTTTAATTTAATACAACATTTTTATTTTATACCATAAGTTAAAATTAAAAGCTAAGAAACAACAGATTATTTTTCAAGATAACAGTTGTTTAATTCTTTTTTAAAAAAAATATGTAAATTAATTTTACATAATTAATTTTACAACGATCATTTGAAGATTTATTTAGATTAAGCATTTATTAACGATGAAATTTTTATGAATTCAAAAAAGTTATATTTGAAATCTGAGACAAACTCATTTTATTTAATAAAATGAGAAATATTTGATACCATTTGAAATATTTTGAACTCATCTATCTGATTTTTTTGCTAAATTAAAATTATTTGATAAATTTTATTTGTATTTATAATTTAACTAACTTTGATACTAATAACTTACTCACAAAGACCATCAATTTGTGGCCACATCGATGTATAAGCATCACATGCAGCAACGGATGATTTACAACTTTCATCATTTTGTCGTTCACGAATTAAATATGCCTGTAGATATTAACAAAATTATTATATTTAAGTTGAAATATTAAATTTGAAATTTATTGAAATTCAATTTTTTTTTCTTCAAACTTTTAAAATACATTCATTTTAGTGTATTCTAATGAATAAAAAATTTTAAAAAGAATTTCATTTTTTTCTTTGTTTCTTATCGGTTAGCCTGTAGATATTAATAAATTATTATATTTAAATTGAAATATTAAATTTGAAATTTATTGAAATTCAATTTTTTTTTCTTCAAACTTTTAAAATACATTCATTTTAGTGTATTCTAATGAATAAAAAATTTTAAAAAGAATTTCATTTTTTCTTTGTTTCTTATCGGTTAGCCTGTAGATATTAATAAATTATTATATTTAAATTGAAATATTAAATTTGAAATTTATTGAAATTCAATTTTGTTTTTTCTTCAAACTTTTAAAATACATTCATTTTAGTGTATTCTAATGAATAAAAAATTACTAAATAAAAAAAAAAATTTTAAAAAGAATTTCACTTTTTTTTTTTTTTTTTTGTTTCTTATAGATTAAATTTCCATTGTAATTGTTAAAGATTGGTAATAATTAGTGAAATTTTGTAATTAGTAAAAAAAAAAATTTTTTTTGTTTATAAAAAATAATTTTGTTAAATATTAAAATGCATTTAATTTTCATGGTGAAATATAAATGCTAAAACCATTTGACTAGCTGAATTATATGCCATTTCTTCGGCAGATGGATGATCATCAATTCGATTTGATATATCCAACCATTCATCTAATTAAAATAGAATAAATATTTCCATTTAATTATAAATTAATAAAATTATTAAATACGACAAGCATTTAGGATTGAAAAAATTAAAATTAATTAATGAACAAAAAGCATTCATAAAGAGATTTTTGATTTTTGAATTTTTTTTTTTTCTACAAAAATTTTTACACTGAAACTTTTTAATTGCTATTTAGATATAAGAAAATATAATCTATTCGTTTTTTTTGAAAAAATTAGAGTGTTATTTTAGAAAGTGTAAACTAATTGAAATTGAAATTTTTTAGTTTCAAAAGAAATATAATAATTTGCAAGTTAAAGGAAACAAAAAAGAGAGAACCAAATATTAGAATAATAATAGTTATGAAAATATATTTTTTGAAAATAAAAAAATTTTTTTTTTTTTAGGAACTCATTAATCTAACTTTATTAAAAAAATATATATAATTACAATATATAATTATATATAATTAATTTTTTTAATTACAATTTTTTTTTGTATATAAATACAATTTCATTGCCTAAAATTCACTGTGTACTCAAATGATAATACAATTAAAGCGAGATTCTCGAGAAAATTTATGCAAACTTAAGAAAGTATTACTTGTTACTTTGTATGAATCAACTCATACAATATTATTTTGACAATTTTGATCTTTTTGTTATGCAAATTTCATTTATTACCTGGTATATATTATCAGTATTATCATCAGAAAATATTTATTAACCAATCTTATTTATTTCTATTATTTGTTGAATTTGAAATTTTTTTTTTACTTTTTTTCTTAAATATAAAATTTACCTCTAATTGGAAATAAACCATCCTCTCCGGTATTATTTAAAATATCCGGTTGTTGATGAACAAGAAACATTGATCCTGATTTTGCCTGATCCATTTTGAGCGCACTTTTTATACCCATTTTGAGTGCATTTCTCATTTCCAAATTTGTTGTTGTATTTTTCTCGCCTTGATATATAATTATAACAAATTCTCGAGGAAAATCAAAATAATTATAACAAATTCTCGAGGAAAATCTTGATGTTATTGAGAATTCTTATATTTTGATTTAACTTTAATTTTGCTACCATTTTTTTTTTCATACCTTTTTTAAATACACATTTTCGTTTTATTGAATCAGATTTTTCTTTGAAATTGTCGTTACTGATTTTTTCATCCATTTGCATTTTGATCGTTTCATCGATTTACAATTAATTAATTCTATTAATATCGCACTAACTAAGACTGAAAAATTTGTTTAAAAATGAACAGAAATGATTAATTTATTAGTTAAATTTAATTTAAATGAAAATATACAATAAATAACAAAAAAAAAAGAAAAATTGAAATATTTAAAAATAATTTAAAATCATTTTGCTATCAAATTATTGTTCACTTACCAATAAAATAAATTTTTAGCACATGCATTAATGAAACAAAATTAAGAAATTTAAAAAAGTATTTTGTTAGATACAACCGAATCAATTCTGTTTAATTAAACAATAATTAGAAATTGCATTTTCAAACTTATATAAATTTTAATAAATTTTAATCAATATAACTTTTTCCTTTTACAATCAATTTTATGCTAATTTTTTTTTTCAGATTTTCTAAACAGCGCTTTTTAACTATTTGAGATTTTAAAATTGAAAAAAAAAATGAAACAGTTCTGAAATACAATCGAAGGTATATTTTAGTATAATGCACTTATCAATGAGTAAATCCAGGTACAAAAGTCTTCGAAGACTAAATTTTTCATTTATGATCAAATTATCAATTTAAAATTTGGTTCAAATCAAATTATTGATAACTTAAGATATATGATGTCCACAATCATAGTTGAAATTTTATTTAGAAAATGGTACTAATTAATCGGAATTAATAAAATTTGAGAAATTACAATTTTTGCTAATTTTACATTAGCTATTATCACCAATTTCAATTATAAATTATATTATAGTACAGTACAAAATCAATTTTATTCTAATTTTCAATACTATCAATTTTTTTCTTCAATTAAACAACGTTTGTTTATACTTTAGAAGAATTTATTTTTGTTATGTTAATAATATAATTAATCAAATAACTATTAAAATAACTTTAATTGCTATTATCAAAGCAAAAAATGAAAATATATTTTTAATTTCAAATTGATTTATTAATTATTTACAGTAATTGATACTATTTTATCTCTCATTCACCGATATTTTGTGCTAATTTTAATTAAAATACATTTGATCTATAATCGATTACTTCCCTTTTATCATTATCAATCATTTCTAAACCGTTTATATCTCAATTTTTTATCTCTTCCTGAGCAACTGATAATATCATATTACTTTACTGATAATGTAGTCATCAACAAGAAGTGTTGATATCTTATATGCAAAGTTTAGAAAAGCTAAGGTCAGAGTTCATTGTCAATTGTGAAAATATAAATTATTAATATTATAATTAAGTATCTTTCATTAACTTGAATTTCTTGTCATTAATCAAATATATCGATGTGTTTTAATTAAAATTTTCATTTCAATTGAAATTGTTTATTTTAAATCAAAGATAGCAAAAAAGCAGCGATTTAAATTAAAAATGAATAAATTAGAATTTCAATATGTATCAACTTTGTCTCTCAAATAACAATCAGTAATCAAAGGTACGAGAAATCATTGGTAGTAAAATTGTTTATTAGCAAAATTTTGTTATCAATTAGTTATTCATTTAACATTTGCTCTTTTCCATTAGATCAGTGTTTCAATTTCTATTTTCTTTTTTCTTCTGTTGCCAATGTGATAAGTAAATGATAAATGATATGGCTTTACAAGAATGATAATGATAAGGAATGTTGTGTTGTTGTATTTGCTAATTCTTTTGCATCAAATGCAAAAATTGCATATATCAATGCTTGCGAGAATATTACAGCGTAAACAAACAAAAATTGATACATATGTGTAATTGCCTGAAAATGTTTTTTTTTCTTTTTTAAAGGTCAAAGTTGAAAGTTAAACAAAAATTGTGCGTATAAAAGTTAAAATTTGATGCAATGTTTTGGTGTAACCTACACGTCAAACACGTCAATTTGTATGTCATATGCTAAATATGTATTACCTCACGTCAAACACGTATAATTCATATGTCATATGCTAAATATGTATTACTCACGTCAAACACGTACAATTTATATGTTATATGCTAAATATGTATTACTCACGTCAAACACGTACAATTTATATGTTATATGCTAAATATGTATTACTCACGTCAAACACGTACAATTTATATGTTATATGCTAAATATGTATTACCTCACGTCAAACACGTATAATTCATATGTCATATGCTAAATATGTATTACTTCACGTCAAACACGTACAATTTATATGTTATATGCTAAATATGTATTACTTCACGTCAAACACTTACAATTTATATGTCATATGCTAAATATGCATTACCTCACGTCAAACACGTACAATTTATATGTCATATGCTAAATATGTATTACTCACGTCAAACACGTATAATTCATATGCCGTATGCTAGATATATCTATCTAAATGATCAGTTCTTGACTATATTATAATCAATTTATAACTGTGATTTCTAAAATATTAATAAATTAATAAAGATTACCTAATAGCATATGCGATAATTAGTGATAGCTAATATTCAGTGAATAAATTTAGCTTTACAATAAATTTAAAAAATTTCAAACTAACAATGTCTTTTCCAGCATTATTCACATAAAGTTGTAATATAGCAAAACCAATAAAACCATAAAGGCCAACAAGTAAAAGATATGGTAGTGATAAGTCAATAATTGTTCCCAATGATAAATGCAGAATGAATCCACCACCAATTGTTAAGCATAAAAGTTTTGCATGATCTTTGCCAATTATTGATGAACCAAAATGTGGAATTAAACCGATAGATATTGGTGTTAATGCTGCAATTGGTGGTATACCGATCAGATCTTTATCCGAGAAGATAAATCCTGTTAATAATCCCTGAAATGATAAGGAATGCAATGATAAGAATAAACAATACTGATAATGCAATAATTAAAAAAAGAAAACAAAACATTCTGATAAGTTTTTTTTTTTTTTTTGCTTCTTAACTTTTTACCTATTTTATTTTACATCTACACAGTTAACTATCTTTATAATAAACATAGGATTAAATGCAAATTTATTAATAAATGGATTTGATTAAAAATTTCATTTTTAAATTAATTAAAAAAAAAACCTCAAAAGTGGCAAATAGAAATAGCATATGTCGTCGAAATAGATCATCATCATTATTCATTGATTTCATTTCCAATGGCAAATGTAGAAAGTAATAAGCGGAAAGCGGAACGATAAAATATGCTAACAGTGCGGCATCCGTACCGCTTAGGAAAAATTCGAGTAACGGAGTGAAAAGTATGCCACCAAGAAATGCTCCAAAATTTAAGCCTAATAACATTACAGCCATCCAGGAGAAAGCTCTCATAAGTGTCGCAGTGTCAAAGTCAGATAATGTTGACTGTGTGTCCTGTATTTTTACTATCATCTCATCACGTCGTTTCAATAATTCACGATGAAAAACATTGAACTGCTCATATGTTCGTGCCTAAATTAAATTAATTAAAATTTTAATTAAAAATTAAATCAATTTTAAAAATTTGAATTAAAAAAAAATTTGTTATTTAATATAGAATGAGCTAAATATAATAAAAGGATGAAAATTATTCTATCACTTAAATTTATATTTGATCTAAATTCTTTTTTTTGGGTGACAATTTTCTTTTAATTTTTCTATTTTTCATTGCCTCTTTGTTTGTTTGTTTGTTTATTTATTTATTTGTTTTTTTTTTTTTTCAAAAATAAGAAAATTTATATCGTACCTTGCTAGTTGAATTAGCAAATGTAGCAGCATGTTTCACCAATTTATTAAAACCATTTTCAAATTCACTTTTATATTGACCAGCTAATTCAATCACACTGACCACTGGATTTGATGTCATCGAGTTAAATTCTCAAATTAAATTGAAAAAATTTAAAAAAAGAAAGAGGAAAGAGCAACCAATTATTCGAGTTTATAAGTGATGAAAATGATAATTTGTTAAGAAATTTGCCGTTTTGTAGTAAAAGAAAAATTCATTGAAATTTATTAATTTATGCAAATTTCACAAAAAATTATATCATATTATTGCCACCCATTTTATTTTATTTATTTACTTTTTTTTTATTTAAATGCTAAAAATTTTTTCATCATAACATTATCTCACTTCCGGTTTTTTTCATGTTTCCGGAATTTGCGGCAAGTATATCAATTTTGCCGAAATGATGAAAAATTTTGCATAAAAGTTAGATAAAAATTTAATTCAAAAAGATTGAAACAAATAATTAATGACCAGGAAGGAATTCATCAATGTTTAAATGAGTTGAATAAATTAATCGAAATAATTTGATAGTTTTTTGAAATGATTATTAATTTTAATAAATTATTAATATTATTTCAGAAATTAATAGCTCATCTGTTTCAAAAAAAAAACAAAATAAACATTTTATTGTAAACATTTTACTACGATAAACACAAATGTTCAAAATTAGATAATTTGAAATAATTGCAAATGTTATATTATTTATTTTCAAATTTTGAAATTGTTATGTTCAAATTTACAAATACTGAAATTTTCAAAAAAAAAAAAATAGTAATGATGAATGATTGGATATAACTTAATTTCCATAATATAAACATTTTTTTGCGCTAATATTTTGAAAAATTTTTCGAAAATTTTAATTTTATTAAGTAAAGTTACTTAATTTTAAATTAAAAAAGTTACTTAGTTACTTTTACAAAGGGTCATGCATAAGTTATTTTTTTTTAAAGCATAAAATTTGAATAATGAAAATAAAATATTTTACTGCCATAAAATGAAAG